TATTTTAAAAATAAAATTATTTTAAATTACAAATTAAAAAAAGTATCCCTTTTTCAACAGTAATAGTACATACAAAAACTAGATTTAAATTCTTGATCTGTGTAGTGCTTAAACTATCTCAATTTTCCATCAGTGGAGTGCACGCCACACTTGGAGACATTCCGCTCAAAGAAAAGGATTCGCATTGGTAAATGGAAATAAAATCACTGAAAACTTCATGGACAATATCACATATTAATTAGTTTTTAACATAAACTTTTTCTAGCTGTATCCATATGTGGCGTGGACAGTCACTTAGTGAATGATGTTTCAAGCAGGAAGTCCAGCGGTTCCTGACAGTACCTCCCTTAGCCTCTGGCAAATGCTGAAACTTCCCAGTTTGAATGTAAGTGCTTTTGCTCAGTGGTTTCAAACTTTCTAAAGCAGTCAACTTTCTCTCTCTCTCTTTTTTTTTCAAATGAAGCAATGTTTTTAAAAAACAGTAAATTAATGAAAAATTAGAATTGTATTTGTACAAATACACTTTAGAGGTTCAAATTGGGAACACATGGAATATAATCAATCTATGATAACAATGGAGTTATTTTGATGAAGGCAGTTGCCATGTCCGAGGCATCCTAATTTTCACTGATGTCTGCTATTTGTTTTTGTTGTGTGATACTGGGACTATCCTGAACCAGACAGGCAAGTCATTGTAAATGATACAAACTTTCTTACATCTCACTTGGCAGTCTTGCCTCATTCTGGGTTCATTATTGGAAAATGGTATAGCTGGACTTGTATCTTCAAAGCTAAAACCATTAGAATCTCTAAAAACTGCTCACATTACTCGAGAGGTCCTCACTGGTTTAAAAACAGAAAAAACATTTTTCACAGGTATCCTTTTAACAGTTTTTCAGCTTCATCAACACAAATTTACTTGCTGTCTGGTTCAGATATTAATTCAAGTTTCAATCAGTCTAATTTATCTTATTCTGCATACTTAGCTGAAACTTTGTTTCAATTTCACCCCTGCCTCCTTAGCAGCAGTTGTGAGAATGTTTATATCATAAATCTCTGACAAAAGTACACTTGATATATAAACTAGTACAAGCTTATCATTTTGGAGAACTAGCTAACTAACGCAATTTTTTTATGAGCAAAAACTTTTCTGAAAAATGATTTACATTTTTATTAAAAATATTAGTATTGTCACCTTGTTTTCACTTCCATTGATTGTTATGCACTGTTTATTACTTGTGTCGAACAGAAGTATCTGAGCTTGTGGACCTTTTAATTGCTTGTGAGTCACATATGCTGTGGTGGTAACGTACCCATTTGTACAATGGGTACGTTTGTACCTCATCAAACATGCAAAGGTATATTTTAAATGACCATTGCAGAGGTACAGACTTTCCAATGAATGCCACAGTTATTTGTTTATTTGTTTGTCTATTCAGCTGTGTATATGTGTACAAATGCATGTCTGTGGATATGCAGACCTAGGCTTTGATCCATCCGTCTATGGGTCAGTCCACCCATCAGCAAGAAGAAGAGGAAATGGAACAGGAGGAGGAAAAGAGGTTGTTTTCACCTGGGAACACAATTTAATGATTTGGGAATTGTCAATATGACAAAATGGTTTTATAGAATGCATGTTTGTGAGTTTTTATCATAGGTTTTTTTTTGGTTATTGCCCTAAAATATGGCAAAAATGAATACGATCGCAAGTTTTTTACAGAACCTCTGAAAAATTGTACTTGTAACTCGGCGGAACACAGTTTGAAAAATAATGGTTTAGCTGAAGGCTTTTCTTTCTTTTAAAATGCAAATAACTTTTACTCTAATCTGCAACCAGTCATTTATACACTAATGTGAATGAATTTAAGACATCTTTCTGAGGCTTAGATTTAATGCAGAAGAAGCAGCAAAGATGAACTCAGCACGTGAAAACACAGGGAAGACGGAACACAAAGGCTAAGGAGCAATGAAGACCTACTTGGCCTACTTTCATCGTTTTGCTTAAAGGCCATGCCGTCTGTATATGATTCGTTCATGTGTACTTCCAAAAGAAGAAAAGCAAAACAAGCTACAACAAAATCCAAACCAAACAAAAAGACAAAGCCGCGAAGAAATGTCTATCGATTTAGATAAACGTATGAATACATTTTAGAATTGCTTCCAACTGTTTGAGAATATTTTGCTGGAACAATAATGTAATTAAATTAACTGCTTATAATTTTGATCAACTCGAATTAAATCAACTATCAATTTCCAACCAGTGAATTTATTCACCGATGAGACTATGATCTTATGCTGTGAGTGTCCTCAAGGACTGCAAGCAAATAAACTGTGCAGGAGTCCCAGATCATGTAGAGCAAAGAATAAAAGAGTATGTAATACTCCAAACATCATGATGTACCTTTGGTCTGACATTTTTTTCTCATTAAAATGAACTTGTAACTTTTTTCTTAATTTAAATACTTCTACTAAATAAAATAATTTTATTACAAGAATCTAGCCAGGTATGCTTCCCCCCTCTCCCTGCCACCAAAAGCTTTCTAAAGTTTATGGACAAGCATTCATTCTGATATAGTAAAAAAAAAAAATTAGTTTAAACTTCAAACTTTTTACAGAGGCATATCAGAAAAGCTGTTAGTTAAGATTTCAAGAAAGTGCATCTTAAAAAGAAGAAATTTACATTATTAGATTTTTTTCACTTATTTGCTTGTATATTTTCTAAGAGTGAAATCATTAATTTGATCTGGGCTAAAGAAACTTGTTGGGCCAGAATTATAGTTCCTATATTTCATTTCTAAAGTCAATACCTATAATCATTTTGTGTACGTGTGAAACTAAATCCAAACTTACAAGCATAGTCAGTTTAGAGAAGGAAGAAAAAGTTGAGCCAAATCAATTACAAACACACTTTGGTTATTACTCACACAATGACCTTCAAGAACTCTGATTTCTAATGTCTCTCCCCAGCTTTATACTGAGAAAAATGTATTCCTAAGTCACCAACCTGCAGATTCTCACTTCTTTCTTTCCCAAGTTTATGGAAACCTAATCCTAATATTTCCTTAGTACAAAGCAAGAAGGCAGAATAGGAAGAGACCTCTTCCCAGGGTTATAGGCACTCACAAGTCTATTCAGCACTTCTGGCTGATTTGCCTATGCTTTATTCCAAATGTGTATTCCTCAGAAAAGCACATAGAGGGGGATGAGTGAGTGGGACCAGCAGACAGCAGGTCTGCAGTAGCTCCACAGTGTACAGACACTTGTCCCGGTGGAGCACAGCCATGAGTTTTACAAACTTTAACAGCTCAGTGGGTGAATATAGCTGGCAGCTGAGCACTGAGAATCAATTCAGATCCATGTCTAGAATGTCTACATGCAAAGGACATGCCAAGTACAATCTGTAGTAACCAAACAGAAAAAAAAAGCCTAGAAATTATTATATATTTATATCATACATATAACAGTCTTTTTTAACCCTATGGACTGAGTTACTATGTAACACATATGAACTCATTAACTCCCTTGGGAGAGAAGCAGAGATTTTTTAAGTGTGATCTTAGTATGGTCTTTGGACTAATTCTAAAGCTTAGAAATTTTTCATAAATTTTTTAAGAAATCAACTAAACTTACATTTAAGTATAAATGCAATATTAGTGTCAACAACTCCTAGAAATTAATAATTATACCCAATTCCCCTCATTTTAAAATTCATATTGCACAAACCTACTCATTTTTTCGACGCATTTCTCCTTCAAAAAACCATTTTCCTCCATGTTTTCATACATTCATCCTGAGTGTGAAACATTTTAAATTTGATATAAACTTTCTTTTATTAAATTATGCAACACCTCAGACTTTACCTCTTTGGGATTACTTATTCATTTAACGGGCATCAAAACCTACTGTTAGGGGCAGGTTGTAATAAACACGTCTTTCTAGTGGATACTTAATATGTTCTCCATCCATCTTTGACAACCTTATGGTCACCACATTCCATATAACAGAAGCCACTGCCTGCTGCTGAAACTTGAATCAGATGCCGCAAGACACCAAAACAAAGCTATTTCCTACCGCCATCAAGCCTAGCAGCCATTCTCAAGTTTTACTTATTTAAAGAAATATTATTTTTATTGGGCCCCCAAGGTGATAACCTCTTCATATTTTGTCTTTGCTACACTGAGCTGAGTTGATACGTTTTCTTGGCCATCTGAATGCCATCAATGGTATGAGGTTGATTCCAGAAGGTAAAAGAAGTATTATGGATACTGTTCATAAATTGAGGCATGAGCAATTACTAGAATACTACTAATTTGATATTTGTTTATAAAATCTATCAACAAGAATTAACTGTCACGTCCCAGTGTAAATTATATGACAATGGAGTTGAAAGCTGATCCGCAGCTAGTCTACCCTATTTTGTTAGTCCTTTGCCCTTTCTCTTCCAGGTCTTCTACCTGTTACTAAATTTCTGGAAAACTAGAAGCAGATAAGCAAAATTTACTGTGGAATATTTAAACATGCCATTATATATGGTACTTCGGACAATAGCTCAATGTAAGATGGCTTCAAAATCATAGGCTGACTGCAGAAAGTCAAGAATAAAAAATCTTGCAACATACCTCAGCATAGTCTAACCTAGGCCCTTGTTACAGCAAACTCAAACATCCTGACCAAGACAATCACATTCCAGAATTTAAGGTACAAGATAGCCTATATTATTTTCCCCTAAATACCCATATGTATTTTATTCCTTCTGGAAAGAGATATATCCAAAAACAGGAGAATAAAGGAGAAAAAAAATCCATGAAAATATAGCCAGTTTATACATGATTTTAGAATCTATTATAGTATAATAGAATCACACATGTATATCTGATATCATAAACAATACAACTGCATACATATACGGACTGTAGTGAAATAGAAAACTCTTTCATTTTGAAGTAGCCCTCAAAAGCCAAGCAGGAAGCAACTTAACAATGAAACGTTAGGAGACTTACCTTGACTTGCAAACTTCAACTCTTTGGCATCTGTGAGCGTGGTCCTCTTGTCAGATCCTTTTTTCTCCATTCGGCGGTGGCTTCGTCTTTTCTTAGACTCTCCCCAAAGATTGGACCCTCCGTGCATGCTCGGTATATTCAAAATAGCAATTCCCTCCAGAGAGATGTTTATTAAGTCAATCTGTACTCCATCGCACTGATCAGTAAAGTGAGAAAAACAGAAACAATAAGATATTTTAGCTTTCTTTCCTCGATTTCTTCTTTTGCATTTCCTTATCTTTTAGTAAGAATTTTTAATCTATAATCTTGCTCTTTCTAAATAAACCTTTTAAGAACACTTAAATGGTTACCCTAAATGTCAGTATAAAAGATAAAGCAGCCAATAACACTTATCAGGTATCATTAATAGTGTTTAAAAACGATCAAACTAAACCATCAGTGAGTGTATCTTTGTTTATAGTAAGAAAACCTTTGCAAGGGACATACTTATTAAGTGTCTGCATATATAACCAGCTGCAAATTTCTAGTGTGTTACAAGGAGGTTGATTCTGGGACGTCTGGTCAAACTTCAGGCAGCAATTTTAGTGACTGTCTCCTCTTTAGAACACACCATAAGGCACTACTGGGGGAAAATAAACAAAATTCATAATTCATGGTCTCATTTTTGCGGGCAGAGACAGAAATGGCTCAAGAGACTTTTGAAAAAAGAAAAAGTGCAAAATGGCAATTCAGAGAGATCTGAATTACACTGGAGTGGTGAAGGATTATTTCTTGGACTAGATTAAGTTCCAAGGACAGTGTTAAAGGCAATGAGAGGCACGCTGTCTACACGAGTGTGAAGGACCAGGACGACTGAGTGAAGGAAATACCAAGATTAGCAGCACTGAAAGGAAGATCTCCAACCCATCAGCACAGTACCTTATAGCTGCTTTAACAATAGATTGGAAAATAAAAACAATTAGCCAGGTTTTTTTGCTTGTCTGGTGACAAAATACCCTTTTGACTATGCTTTCCAGACAATTCTTTGCCATATTCAGTGGTCACTTTTTACTTTTTTGAATTTTCCGTATACTTCCACTGATGGACATGTACGGAAAGTGACACGGCCATACTGTATTTCTGTAATTATTATTTACTTATTCATTTGCTTTAAGTTTTCTAAAGCAGTAGTTATTATAAATATATCCCAGATAGTGTTCTCCCATTTTCAGTTCTAAGTCAAGATGAGTTATAAGTACCTGTGTTTTACAAACTTTGTTAGGGGTATGCACTTCATATATCAAAGTGTATCTGCAGTGGGACTGTTTTATTTGCCATGTCTTATTACAAAACAAAGAAACAGCAACAACAAAACCCCAGAACGCTGACACTGACTTCATCACACCCTTTCTCATGGCAACCAGGAGTTTTGAACCTAAAAGAGATAATGTGCCACGAAAATTATAAAAACAAAAAACAAACTAACAAAAATCCTCTCTTTTTTCACATTTTCCTCATCTGAATCTAGTACTGTATCTGGCTCACCAAAGTATAAAAAGTGAAATAAAGCAACCTATCTTGAGCCTACTTGGCACGGCTAGAAACAAATTCTAGAGACGGTGCCAAGTTTTCATTCAATTTCTTTCAACGAGGGTGAAACCAAGGTCTGGTTGATGCCTTTTTTTTCTCCCTTAGAAACAAGTAATTTTTTTCCCCTCCTTTTCATGTAGTAAATCAAGACGATTTCTTTTTACTAAAGAATTCTGCTCATGTGTATACTCACTTACTGCTATATATTCTAGATAAACAGATATTAATTTCATAATTAAAAGTAATCTTGTGTAAATACCCTGCAGGCCTCAATGAATCAAACACATACTGTGTGTCAGGCCTCCCACTGTCTTCAAGTGGAATGTACTGGCTGGATAATTAGATAGTACATATTTTTTAACCTTATTTGCATGCATATTATATCTTTTGCACACTGACAAGCAGCAGTAACAACAAAAGTCAGATTACCACAGGGAATTCCCACAAAGAAGTCTTCATTCCTTATAATTTGCAGCCTAAATTAAAATAATTTGATCTTTGACAAGGATGAAATGTCAAGCAGAAGGGGGTCCTCTACAAGCCACGGCCTGTGGCTTCTGAAATCTGCCTAATTTATGTCAGTCACTTCTTAATACATATTTAAGTATTACACGAAAAAGATGATAAATATGCAATCTGACACCTTTGGTATTTCCCTGCTGTTAATTTATAAAGGTCTGGCTTCCCCTAAACTGACTAAAATCATTTAAATAACAGAAGAATCGTGAAATAAGCTGGAGTTGGGTCCCAGCTTCCATTTTCACTCAATATTGAACACAGCAGGTAGTGCTCGAAGACAATTATTTGACTAGGCCTTCGAACCCCACTGTGACAAGTTACTTTCAGAATTAGTGCAGGAGTATTCCTTTGTTCATCTGCAGAAAAGGAGAGTACGTTGCAAATAGGCTTTTTTTTTTTTTAATTGAACTAGGGGAATCACATCTGACAACTGAAAAACATCAGTGGGTACTAGTATTCATGTTTTCACCCTTCACAGTCTTGTCACGTGTCGTTTTAAGGAAACAGTAAGTAGCACTCTTGAAAGCGAAAAGAAAAGAAAAAAAAAATCCTTAAGAAATCCCAAAAAAGAAGGACTGACGAAGAACACGGAAGTTCCTATGAGTGCAGGACAACGTACTTACATAAATGCCCATTTATTAATGGTTTGTTTCCACTAGTTCCTGACCCCAGGCTCCCTTCCTCTGTTTGCTTTAACGTTATGTTCATTAGTCTGGAAATCTCCAGCGCTGGGTCTGATGAAGACCAGGAATCGTAGCACACCGGCTGAGCGCGTGGAAATAAAAGCTGAGGTGAAGGCGATGAAGTGTAAACAAGTCATAAGACTGCGTCAGATAATATTTTCATCCACCTTGAAGATTTATGATTTTTAAAAAGGTAGCTACAGAGGAAAATATATAAAAAAGCTTAAAAGCTAACAGCCTCGGTTAGTCAATAAATCCTGAACATTTTTTACTATGTTGAAAAGACGTCGTTAACATACAGCGCGAGGGGGGCTGTTTGCAGAGTGTGGGGCTTGAGGCCACTGTCCACTCTTAGTTTGAAATGAAAGATCTTATTCCAGAGACAAATCCCTCTAAAAGGAAAGAAGATGGTTTAAAATTTTCTTCCAATGTATTTTAACCACAGTTTACAAATATACCCTGCACAATTTCATACAGAAGTGTTATAATGAAAAAGAACATGAAAAGGAATATGTATATATATATATATGCATGTATAACTGAATCACTGTGCTGTATACCAGAAACTAGCACAACATTGTAAACCGGGTACACTTCAATTGAAAAAAAAAAGGGATCAGAAGTATTAAAGACAAGCTTTTATATATGAATTTAGTGTTTCAGATTCAGTTAATATGTTATTTGATAGGAATATTCAAAATGGTATTTTGAAGAACTTTGGAGAGCCATAACTGTGAATAATAAACCTGATGAGATATGATTAATGAGAAACCGTAAATATTTTTCCCTAGTGAGTCTAATTCGATGCCCAAGTCATAAAAATGATTCATAATTTTACTTAATGAAATATATAAACATTGTGTTGTTCATTGTTTAAAATGGCATGGAGTAAAATGACTTATCTAAACCTGCTGTTAGAAGAGTTTCTACAAATTCATATGTAACTCATAAGGCAAAATCATTTATGTTTGCAGAAAACTGCAGCAGCAACCCTACAAATTAAAATAGACACACATAAAAAATTGAATATACTAGACACATATACATGTAAATGCCTTAATGTTATCTCTTGTGATGTTTAAGGCCACAGTATTCTGCATTTCTCCAGTGATTAAGCTCCATGTTTTTTCAAACGCATTTTATAACTTTTATCTACAAAACACAGTGTGACATAGGGGCTCAGAATATGCCTTTCAGATAATTTTAGTGTTAGCTGGCAGTCCAGCGATGGTGACAGAAGTGCTGATTGCAGATAATCCCAAGATATTTTCCAGAGTGGAAGGGGAGATATAGCAGGTAAAGGAGAGGAAGATAGAAGCAAATATGGAAAACAGAAAAATTTGAGACTGGTACCATGGATGTACACACACAGTTGCTGAATGTGTTGATAATAATATTATTATTATTACTGGTTCAAGATATCAAGCTTTAGGCCAAAGTGTTGGCAGAAAACCACTTTAATTTTTCCTGGTTCCCTTTTAATTTCTGGGAAAGCCAGAAATTATTGCTAGAATATTAAAATTCTTACCAAAAGTTATCTCATTAAAAATAACTTCTGCTAAATACAGAAGAGAATTTTCCCTTTGGTCACCTTTTACCTATCTCATTTATTCCTAACTCTCTTCAGTATGGGAAAGTACAATGTATTATTCTTAATGAAATGATAACACCACCTGATCCCACTACATTTCTTGTTCTTTCATGGAATAAGAAGTTATTCTTTGTTTTGGACTTGATGAGTCCAATTTTTGTTTCCTATGATCATCTTTGTTGAGGTCCACAACTGTAACATCGCCCTTCATCTTTGCTTCTGGAATTTCATTGCAAAAAAACTAAAACAAAACAAAACAAAATCACCTGGGGTGCTTTAGAAGAGAGGGTAAGATCTTCTGAGTGTTCTTATTACACACACACACACACACACACACACACACAAACACACACACACACACACATCAAGAGGATAGGAAGATACTTTTGGAGGTAATGAAATGCTTATGGCTTTGATTATGATGGTAGTCTCATGGATATGTTCTTTTCTCCAAAGTCATCAAGTTGTGCGCATTAAATATGTACAACTTTTTGTAGGTCAACTATGACTCAACAAAGGCAATAAAATTTAGAAAAGAATGTCCAGTCCCAAGTTCCATTTCCTCCACTCCATGATCGGGTTTTGGTAGGGCTAAGACTGAGCTAAGGTTCTCTAAATGCATGCTGAAGGACCACGCAGGAAGATTTTGACAAGAGGTGGGGCAAAGACAAAGCTGCAAAAATCTGCCCCACTGACTTTAGTAACTGTGCTTTCCAGGGTACTGCACAATCAGAATCTTACCTTTCAAATCCTGCTAATTTATTTAGTGTCCCTGACACTCTTCTTGCAATTTGTCAATACTTGAGCTCATTCAGATTTTATAGAAACAATCAT